GAAACGCCCACTGCCCAGATTCCTTAAGCTGCAAACCACCCGCAGCAGCAGACTCCCCGGGTGGCTTCCCTCCCCTACAGCAGGTTCCAGGCAAGTTCCCAGGAGACCTAACCAGAGCCCCCTCTGGCCTTCTTTTGTATCTGACCTGTCCCATCCCAGTGTCCAGAACAGCTTAGAGGCCCTGGTCCCTCCACTGGAGGCTTAGGCCCAGGTGACACAAAGGAAGCAGGGTCTGCAGGGCTCCCAGAGGCTGGATCCCACCCAGAGTCCCACCCCTCTGTCCCTGTGGTCCTCCCGCTGCGTTCCAACTCACCAAGGCCCAGGAGGGTGGTGGGATGGGGGCACATCGCCAGCCTCTCAGTGTCTTCCCTGTCTCTGTCCTGGGTGAGGGAAAACAGGGCCCTGCGGGTCAGGAAGCGTGCAGGGTGGGTTCACAGGGGCCACCTCATGGGCTCATTTCCGTGGTTTCACAGGACGAGAGGTGGGCAGCTCCAGGCTTCCCCTATTCGGGTCCAGAGAGGCGCTGGTTTCCGGGAGGCATTTCTAGTGAGATATTTCATAACCAGGCTGAACCCAGGTCCAAATGAAACCCATATAGTACGAATTCATCAGATAGACGATAGATAGATGATAGATACATAGATACCCAGATATACAGATATATAGTCACAGATACACAAATTGATATTTACATAGATAGATACAATGATAGACACTTAGATACATAGAAACATAGACAATACAGGCAGGTAAACTTACTGGCTTATCATGTGGTCCTCACGGGCTGAATGTGCCCAAACCACACATTTCCTTACGCAAACACTTCAGTTTCTCATGTGTAAAAGGGAAACCATAAAACTCTTCTGCCCGGCCGGGCGTGGCTCAGCGGTTGAGCGCCGACCTAGGATCCGGGCGATCGGGGTTCGGTTCCCGGTCAGGGCCGGGGCTGCAGCCAGTCAATGACTCTCATCATTGGTGTTTCTCTCTCCGTCTCCTTTCCTTCCTCTGAAATCAATAAAGATATGTAAAAACAAACAAACAAAACAAAAAACCCCTTCTGACACCTTCAGGCTTTTACCAGGAGTGCATGGAGAGCCGAGCGCACCCTGGAAGGACCCTCAGTCCGCCCAGGATATTCAGGAACCTTCCCCTACGAGTGCAGCCTCTGCCCCGTCCCTCCGCCGAGGAGCCCTGTGCCCACCTGTCCGCCTCAGGTCTGAGTCAGACAAGCCCGGGTTTAGGGGAAATGCACCCAACTAGCTGTGATGTTATCTTATGTGTCAACTGGGCTCCGGGACCCGGCACGGCGCTGTTTCTGGGCACGTCTGGGGGGCTGCTGAAGGAGATGAGCTTCCACTGAGTGAACTGTGATGCGCCCTCCCCAGTGTGGGTGGCGCCACCGATCTCCAGAGGCCCCCAGAACAAAAAGAGGAAATAAGGGGCCGGTCACTCTCCCTTGAGCTGGCGGCCCCTCTCTCCTGGCTCGGGTGTCGGAGCTCTTGGTTCCCTGGCCTTCGGACTCCAGGACTCGCCCCCGCCGCCCCCGGTTGGTTCTCAGGCCTTGGACTTGGACTGAATGACGCCTCCGGCTCTCCTGGGTCTCCAGGGTCTCCAGCGCAGACGGCAGGTGGGGGGGCTTCCAGGCTCTGTGACCCGGGAGCCTGTTCCTGCACTAACTGTCACGTCACTGTCTCCGTGTGACCTACATGTCAGCATCTGCTGGGGCTGTTTACCTGGAGAACCCAAACTAACACACTAACTGGTGAAAAGTAACAAAGAGAAAGAGAAATTCAGAAATTCAGTACAGTATGTAACCCCCAGAAAATAAGAATAAAGATAAAAACTCAAGTGTTAGGAAGCAGATCTCTGGAGGAAATTAATCTTGAGTAGAAATAGAACATTAAAGATCAGTACAAGTTAAAATTGAGCAGGGAGGCTGGGGACCCTCACTCTCTGAGCAGGAGAGAAACCTCCTGGCAGTGAGATGTCCACCCGCCCTGAGGTCAGGACAGCGGCTCCCGTGCCGCGCGGACTGGCTGGCAGGAGCAAGCTAACGAATATTTCGCTCCCGAGTTTTCCCCAGAAAAACGGAGAAAAGACTAGAACGTACTGCGGAGGGTTTCAGCCAGGATTCAATGCGCCAAAGTTTGATAGAATGAAAATAGCAGTTGTAATATTCTAAGGGCTGCCTGAGTTTTGGTTGGGCCTTCAAAATATTATTTTAATGTAGAATAGCATGTTTAATACCAGGTCTGTTACAGGCATGCAAGTGTGTTTTCTTTTTTTTTAAAGGCTCTAAATTAATCCAAATGGGACACGGGAGCCCCCCTACGGTTATTAGGGTAACTTCTCCTTTTAACCTGATGGGGCAGTGGGTCGGGTCCTGTAAGTGGCGGGAGGCAGGACACGTCGCACCCACTGCAAGCTCTGGCTCTGAGCTCTCCTGGCCAGGGGTCCCACCCCGGGGACGTGGCGCCGCAGATCCCAAACGTTTCTTTGTGGGGACAGCTCTGTGCAGTGTCCTTCGCAAGCCCTGCGGCCAATAGCAGTCTTGCTAAGTCACCGAGTGGGCATTTGTGCACAGGCCCTAACTCTGTTTGAACAGACGTTAAGAGAGAACACAGGGGCCCTGGCTGGTCTGGCTCAGTGGTTAGAGCATCAGCCTGCGGACTGAAGGGTCCCCACGAGCGATTCCGGCCAAGTGCACTTACCTCGGTTGCAGGCTCCATCCCTGGTGCCAGTTGGGGCGCGTGCGGGAGGCAACCAATTGGGGTGTCTCTCTCACATGGATGTTTCTCTCTCTCCCCCTCTCCCTCTCTCTGAAAAGCAATGGAAAGAATATCCTTGGGTGAGAGTTTAAAAAAAGAAATAACACAGGGGACATGGGAGAGAGGATGGATGTGTTCACATAGCAGATTCAGGAGGCCCGCCCACGTGAGCAGTGCCCCAGGGGTCAGGGAGGTGGGAGGGTGCCTCCCACCGGTGCAATTCGAGAGCATGGGGACAGACGAGGAAGAGCAGATGAACGAAACTAGGGTGATCTGCTTTCTGCACACCACAAAGGGGTGCTGTGGGGCAACAGTCACCAAGGGGGCCACACCCCGTCCCTGGGCAAAGGCCAGCTCACCAGAATGTGTGCCATCAGGGGAGAGTAACTGTTACGGTCAACAGACCCTGAAGCCTAATGACTCACCTGGGACAGAAGGTAACTTCCCACCCAGGTAAACTGGCGAGAGTCACTCCAGCTCCACTGTAGGGGTGGCTTAAAGTCCTGTGCTCAGCCCCGGCCAGGGTGGCTCAGTGGTTCGAGCGTGGGCCATCGCACCGAAGGGCCGCGGGTTTGATTCTTAGTCAGGGGCACGGACCTGGGTTGGGCGTTCAACCCACCGCCCTGCACGCGGGAGGCAAGCAATCGATGTGTCTCTCACACACGGATGTTTCTCTCTCTCCCCCCTCCCTCCCTCCTACTCTCTCTAAAAATCAATAGAAAAAATATCCTCAGATGATTTAAAAAAAAAAAAATCCTGTGATTCATAGGAAGTTTGAGGGGTAGTATGGCTGACAGCTCAGGAGACGATGGCCATTGGAGACAGTCACTCACAGTGCCCAGGAGGAGGTGGCCCGCGGGGAGGCACCAGGTTGGCCGAGAGGAGAGGGGGTGAAGGGAAATCGCAGGCAAGGGCCTTTGACGTGGTTTCCTCCAGAAGGAATCGGTGAGGCTGGGTGAGCAGGCTTAGGAATGGCTGCTTTAATCAGCTGAGATGACCCCGGGTGGGGATGGGACGTGGGAAACGGCCATGTCCCTCTGAGAGGACTAGCACGCCCAGGGACCCTCCCGTGCAGTCATGGCCTCTCCTAACCTTCGCCCGGGCCACACACGGGTCCTAACTGTGGGCGTGTGCATATGCGTTTGTACCAGTGTGTGCATGTGTGTATGCGTGTGCATTTGTGCGTTCATGGGCATGTGCGTGCAGATGGGGGGGTGGGGGGTGTGCTCTGCACCGTCTCCCAGCCAAGCGTCCCCTTAGATGTCTGCTCACTCGTCCCTGAGAACCACACTCAGATCAGAAATCATCAGTGCCTTTTTTTTCTGTCTTTTCCCCTCACTATGTTTTGAGCATCTGTGGAGGCAGGGACTGGGGGCCAAGTACCCGTGTACCCTAGCTCCTCATGCAGGGCTGCCATGGTTGGGTCTGTGAAGACATTTATTGATGAACAAGGTGAGCAGGATCCAGAGAAAATGAAGCATCAGATATTAGCTGCATAAATATAGCCCAGGTTCACGGTCAACGAGTAGGCTCTAGGAAAGTCTTTAGAGTCAGCTAAGAAAATGGTTCAAACAGTCCCTGGGGAAGTTGGGGATTCAGGACATGTCTGGAATCAGCTGTGTGACTGTAGTAGTACTGTAGCTGGGTCTCTGGAAAAACCCCACCAACAGTGGCTGGGTCTCTGGAAACTGCTGGAAAGCTATAATGGGTATCTGGAAACAGCCAGGTACCTGTAGCTGGGTCTCTGGAAACAAGTGTTCACAGGGGCTACAAGGAGCTGGTTGACCGTAGGAGGAGCCACCTGGTTAACGAGCCTCCTAGGTGTTGAGGAGCCGTCCCTGGACTCCAGCTCTTGCCTCCAGGAGAAATGACTAGATGACTTTCAAGAAAGGAATGATTCCATAGGGAAGCCCTCCAAGTGGCTGCTTCAGGCCTTTGCAAGAGTGACTTGTGTCTCTAGGTGCAGAGGCCAGGTGGTCCCGAGTCAGCGTCTGGAAAGGGCTGCGTACACGCTGGAATCAGCAGTGGGCTCTGTGGGCTGTGGGGACACAGCTTGGGCTGCTCTCAGGGTGAGGGCCTGCTGGTCCAGCTGGGCATATGTCACCTCCTGGGTGTCTTCTGCAGCAGGGCTCTGAGGGAAAGACCCAGGGTAGGTTAGTGTGGCCAAGGCTGAGGAGAGGGGCCTGTGGGAAGGACAGACTGTGGCAGCCAGCTTCCACGTGGCCCCTGTGATCCCACTTCCCAAGTCTCCATTGTGTAGTCCCCTTCCACATAGACTCAGAGTTGGTCTGTGTGACCAGTAGAACGTGGTAGAAGTGAGGGCATGTCGCCTCCCTGGAGAGGCCACAAAACACATTGCACTTCTGCCCTTTCCTCTCTGGGATCCCGCCCTCTGGGGGAGGCTACTGCCACGGAGAGGCCCACGTGTGGAAGAACTGAGGCCTCCCGCCCACAGCCCTATGGGTGTGCCATCTTGCACATGGAACTGCAGCCCCAGTCAAGCGTTCAGATGAATGCAGCCCCGTGAGAGTCCGTGATCCAGAACCACCCAGCAGATTTAATCTGCTTCCAAATTCCTGACCAGAGAAACTGAGATGGTTTTGTGAAGCTGTTAAAGTTGGGGTACTTTGTTACGCAGAAATCAGTGACTAACACAAGGACTTACTGGGCTGTGCATCTCCCTCTTTTTCTCAGGAAGTTTGCAGACTGTGGCCACATCTGGAGGGGAGAGAACAGTGGTCAGTTCTTTGGGGTGGACCTTTGGTGGCAAGCTTGCTGGAAACCTCAGCGGTTCAGATTTCATGCCCCACTATAGCTAGAACATCCTATAATGTTCCCAAATAATAACACCCCCCCCCCTGCACTGCGTCGTAAACGGTACTCATTGCCCATTTCTCTTTCCCCCGGAGGTTCCCTCTCCTTGTCCCTTTACCTGGTGTGCTCTCTGTGATGTCAGCAGCCGGGCTGAGCCTGAGAAGAAAGAACAAGTGAGCACAGGGGGGCACCTGGAGGCAGAGAAGTAGGACGCAATCCGAGGGTGATTCTCGGGGGGGTCCTCACCTCTCCTGGGGCCTCTGCTCCTTGCCTTTGCCGTGCGGGGACCCTGAGGACAGTCAGGGTGTGAGTTAGGAGGGAAGCCCATCTTCCCAGCACCCCAAAAGCCTTCCCAGGTCGCTCCCCCCCGACCCTGAGACCTACCGTGTTTTTTCTGACGGCCACGATGAAGTAAGAGGAGGACCAGGAGGAGGAGACACAGGAGAAAGACCACAGAGGTCCCGACAAGAACATAAACATATTTCGTCATCAGGCCTGGGAAAGCAGGGAAGATGGAACCAGTGTCCGCAGGGTGCATCTGCTGAGCACCTACTGCGCACCATGCCCGCGCTGGGTGCCCGTCAGGCCCACACTCATACGTGCAACCTCTCCCATGCCTAGTAGTCCTGCAGCCGGGAACCATTATTCCCATTTCACAAACCCGGGCTCCCGAGTGCTGGCGACAGAGCTGCGAGGTGGCCGCCACCTGGCCCCTTCCTTCCCGGCGACCCCGCGAGGCGGGCTGCAGGGCCCTGGCCGCGGCGGTCACTGCGGCGAATGCGTCCGTGGTCTCCCGGGAAGGAGGAATCGGGCCAGTGCCAAAGGCCCGAGCCGGACAGAGGCGGCTCTGGGTCTCCCTCGCCCCCCGGACCCTCACCTGTTCCCCCAGGAGGCACTTTCCGTGAGGACGGAAATGCCCCACATCTGTCCGCTCCACGTCGGCAACCACGCGGCGCTATCTACCCATTGACACGTAAGTGAAGCAAATCGAAAAGCCAGAGCCTCCGCTGCACCAGCCGCATTTCCGGGGCTCAGCGGCCGCACCTGGCTCCGCACCGCACCTGGCTCCGCACCGCACCTGGCTCCGCACCGCACGCGGGAGCCTGCGGCGCGCGCCTCCTCCTGGGCGCCCTCCGCAAGCCCGGGAGCCTCGGCTGGGGGTCACGGCAGCCTCTGCTAGGGGGGAACAGCCCTTCTGGGGCGGAGGAAGCCGAGGCCCGGCGTCCTCGCGTCGCCCGAAGCCCTGCAGTTAGCGGGCGAGTCGCCCCAGCGCCGGCCAAGGGCGAGGCTTGGCGCATGCGCTGTCCGTCCAGACCGACTTCACGGGGTCCTCCTCTGCGCATGCGCGCCACCGCCTCGTGCACGGGCGGCGAGCCTGCGGTGCAGGGGCTCGTCCGAGCGCGGGATGCGAGTCTCCCTGCGCCCTCTTCTGGAACAGCGCCCCCGCCTGTCTCGGAGGCCGAGCCCTGGCTCCCCCTTAAGGAAGCGGGGAAACTTCGCGGGCCTGAGCGCCCGTCCCTCCACATCTGTGCCAGTCCACGCGCCAGGACCCCACCCGCGTTTCTGCACGTCCCTGCCGGTCCTTCCCTTTATGCCATTTACTACAATTTAAAATTGTGTGTACATGCAGTATGTGTATGACATACATAAGATGTATAACATAATGTATTTACATATTTATAACAAATTATATGATTATAGTAAATGTAAATATATATTTAAAATTGTGATTTCACTTATATATGCATAATTTAAATTATATAAACATTTAAAAATTTAAAATTAAAAGAACTTATACTATATAAGATATATAGTATATCAGTTATACATTTTATTGTATAATATATGGTGCACATTTATGTTAACACATATGTTAGTTTTAGTAATATGTGATATAATGTATAACAATGTACTCTATATTCATTTGTAATGTTACATTAATGTATTACTTATATATTAATATATAATCTAAATATATACACTAAGATAAATTATAGACCTGAAACTTTACATTGCAAATTTTACATTTATATTTGCACATATAGACATATAAGCATTTTTTTGTTCATTCTAAGTAATTCTCCCCATTAGAGTTGGGAGGACAGGGACCATTTCTACTCCTTCCCCCTGTGCATCAGGCCCACCGCAGGGGGATGTCTGCTGCAGACGAGGTGACAAAAAGGTATCTGCTCAGTGGCAGTAAGAGCTTGTGCCCACGTCCCTGTTCCGCAGGAAGGGATTTAAGCGCGATGCCTCCTGCGCCCCCTCAATAGCCCTGTATCCAGGGCCCTCCCAGGGGGTCTCTCTTCCGCTGGGTGACTCGGCTGCTGTTCAAGTGTAATGATCAAGAGGTGCCTTCTCTCCTACTGTCCGAGTTGGGGCGCTGAGCTACATTTGTCCCTCTGTCCCTCTGTCCCTCTGTCCCTCAGTCCCTCTGTCCCTCTGTCATGCAGGGTAGAACCCTGCCCACAAGGGGGCGGTGCCCAACTGTGGGCGAACCCTGGGGTGTGGGTTCTGGTCACTCTGGGCTGGTTCTGCCTCTTCATAACCTTGTGTCTTTGGGCAAGAAAGTTTAGCTTTGTTTCTGCAGATTTTTAAAAAGCGGGGGCCCTGGCCAGCGTGGCTCAGTTGGTTGGGCGTGGTCTGATGCCCCGAAGGGTTGTGGTTCAATTCCCGGTCAGGGCACATGCCCGGGCTGCAGGCTTGATCCCCCAGTGGAGGGTGTGCAGGAGGCAGCTGGTGGATGTTTCACTCTCACATGGGTGTTTCTCTCTCCCTCCCTTCCTCTCACGCTAAAAATTATTGAAAACATATTTTTTTAAAAGCAAGGGCTCTACAGGTCAGACAAGCACTGCCTGTCTGGCTGCTGCTGGCAGATGCTTTCCCAGAGCCCGGCAGAGTTCGTGAACCAGGCCATTCTGATTGCTGTCACAGTCAGAATGTGAGTGACACTGTGAGTGGCAGCCCCTAGCTGTGGTCTTACAGTCTCTGATCCTAGCCCTGGGCAGGGGGTTGAGCCCTGGAGCCTGACCCCCAGCACAGAGCCCCCCAAACTCCCTCTGGGCTGAGGTTCCTACTCACCAGCTGAGGAGGGGTGCTTTGTTTGTGTGACAGGGATCAAGCTGGGGGTGGAACTGACAACGGTGGAGGTTCCTGTGAACAGGGCAGGAGAACAGCTGGTGCTCTTGGGGGCTGCTGGGGTCCACCCCACTAGCCTGGCCCCTCTCCACCCTGAGAGTCCACCCACAGGCCACATCTGGCCCTTACTCAGTCCCAGACAACATCCTGATATATGGGGGTGGGGCAGGAGACAAGGAGAGCCCCTGCTCCATTCTGCTGTGAGGGGTGGTGGTCACTCCACTCACCTCCCACCCCCATGTTCCTCTTGACCTCACAGAATCAGCAGGGAACAGCTCCTCTGAGGCCCCTGGACATGGGGCGGGTGAGCGTCCCCGAGGGACTCTGAGTCCAGGACATCTCCGGGGCTGACCACACACAGGGTAAAGACAGCTTCATCCCCCAAATCCCTCAGAGTACCGTCCTGCCTTGGTCATGGCCCCCGGGACCACACGGCCTGCCCAGTGGAGGGTGAGCCACACATTGCCTGGAGCCCCTAAGAGTCTGGCCCAGTGGAAGGGACAGTTTAACACCATCCTGAGGGAAAGGACACATGTCCCCTTGAAGGGGGTCTGTCCCCACCTGATCGCTGGGAGCCCACTCCCCACCCAGCCCAGAGGGACAGCTCTGTGCCCACTCTGTGCTGGGGCTCAGTGCCCAGGCCACCGTGGTGTCCAGATGGGACCAAAGCCTTAGGGCCCTGAGCCAGATGGGGAGGTTGAGGGTCATGAGTGTAGAGGGGAAGGGGGGCCATGGGGCTGGGGGTCAGCAGGAGGGCAGGGAGCCTGAGAACAGAGACACAGCTGGCGACGGGGTGCAGGGACCTGGGACAAACCTGAGGGTGAAGAGGGGACGTCCTCTGTCACCTTCAGCTCCAGGGGCTCACTGCGCTCAGACCAGGTGCCCCCTTTTCTATAGAGGCAGTGGTAACTCCTGGCAGTGTCTTTGCTCGCTGCGGGGAAGTGGAATGTGGCCTCTGTCCCCAGTGAACCAGGTTGAGACACAGCTTGCTGATCTGAAACATTGTATCTTCCATTCTCCAGGCGGAATATGTCAACCCTGTCTGGGCCCCGGCACACGATGCTCACGGGCTGTCCCCGGGGGACCACAGGGCCTGGCTCAGCGCTGATGGAGGGTTTGGGCAGGGCCCCTGGGAGGAAGCAGAGCGGTCTCGGGTCTGTCAGGAGATCTCCACACCTCCCCGTCGCCGTGTTTCAAGTGCACACTTCCGTGGTTTTTGCAAAAGTAGGGTGCTGTGTAACCATCACCCCAACCCAGTGCAGACCATTTCCACCACCCTTCCCAAAATACCCCCCCCCCGGTGGC